TCCTACATTTTAATGCATTAAATTTAATAAGCTTCGTCAACTTGGTCCTCAGCATTCCTTTCATAATGGCATTACACAATAGGAAATTAGAGATCCAATCTTTTTAGCCATCAGGTACTGAGGAACTATTCCTTGGAACCCAAAATGAGAATTCAGTTTTTGGGACTCTAGAAAAATCAGTATAATTGGCTATAATTTAATGTGCCATACAATAACATTGGGTAGAACTGACTTTGAAGTAGTTCTCCACCCAGCAATGACCACTTCCTACTACATGGGTTACAGATAGTCCTTGCCTTACAAACACAATTGAGCCCCAAGATTCTGTTGCTAAGCAAGACAGTTGTTTTGCTCATGTTTTGCATAAAATAGGGAGTTTTACTCCATTTTACAGCCTTTCTTGCCATAGTTGTTAATTGAATTACTGCAGTTAAGTTAATAACATAATTGTTAACTGAATCTGACTTCCCCATTGACTTTGCTCGTCAGAAGGTCACAAAAGGGGATCACAGACACTGCAACTGTAACAAATACGTGCCACTTGCCAACATCCAAATTTTGACCACATGACCACAAGGATGCTGAACAATCATAAGTGTGAAAAACAGTTATAAGTCACATTTTTCAATGCTGTTATAACTTTGAACAGTCATTAAACTGAAAGAATACCTGTACTTTTTCTTCATTAAACAACCCATTAAACAATATCAGAATGAGTTGATAGGGCATATACACGTGTAAAACAACCAAAACAGTCCATGGTGAGTACTATGGCAAATTCCCAGCTGTTGAAATATCATTGCTTAAACATTTTCTTGTGGTAAGAATGCCCATGAAATCCAATAAATGTTCTGCCAATAATTAATGTGTTCACAAGATACACCTAAATATATATCTCTGCTCCTACCATATAAGAAGAAAATTCACAAATAAACTAGCCAATTTATTGTTTGTCTTTAACACCCCTGAACCACAAATCCACAACTGTTATTAATGCCTACACAGCATCCAATGCACTTTTGTTCAGTATCCTGTTTTGTGCCTTCTCTGATGATTCACATTTTGAAACCATCCAATTTAAATTCCCTAGAACTTTATTAAGGATCTCCAAATGTACATCTTCAGATAGAACTTGGATACTCTTCTATAGCTTTATTATTTAATTATGATCTCATTTGACCATATTATTAGGTGTATCCCAGCTTGGTTTTGGCAGGTAACCCTATATCCAAATGGAAAAAGACTACTGCCAATGATTTGTCCTGTTTCTGACCCATTCCAATATAATTCAGAATAGATAAGATCGTGCAAGAAGTTAAACACAGAATCCTTGATTTGGATAAAATAGAATGACAGGTCTCAAATTTCATCCTATGGTCCCAAGGACATCATCCATTAGTCTCTCCCATCCCCCAGTTATCTCTGTAGAAAAGCTGCTGTTAACACAAACAAGCATTCATATTCGCAAGGTTCAATGCCTCACCCCAGGGCTGACAGAAGGGAGATTTAATTTCATCTCATATGCAAAATGTTTCTGCAGCTAATCCATCTTCACCATTGAATCAATAGGCTATAGCTTTCTTTATTGCCCTGTTTACAGTGATTGGCGTGCAGAACTCATAACCTCACCTTTTACCTACCACGCAGTCTGTTCTGAAATTAAAGTTCTACCTTTTTTATTTGCTGGTTTCTCCACTTGACATTTTTCAAGAATGTAGTGATTTTTTGATCAATTGTAATTGCATTTAGAAGACTGGTTTTCATCTTTATACTGCATAGATAGATAGATAGATAGATAGATAGATAGATAGATAGATAGATAGATAGATAGATAGATATTCTATCCATCTAAATAAAGAGATGTTAGAGTATTATCTCTAACCTCCTGTGATCTCCATCTTTTTTCTGTATGTGTTTACATGTAGTCCATTAGTTAATGATTTTTCTTCAAATTACTACAGAACTGAAAAAGTATCTTTATATCTGTCATCAGACTTATATCCGTTGCAGTGACCCACAATCACAAGACTATCATTTGTGAGCTTCGCTTTCAGCTTCAAGTATGCAAAATCAATGGAGGAGCTGGCAGTAAAATTGCAAGTTGTTGTCAATCCATGACAATTCACTTAACAACCACAGTGAAACTTACATCATAGGTCCAGTGCAATTACTGAATGTTTCACTTAATTACCATGTCAGTTAGCAATACAGTCACCACTCTCAATTTTAGTTATTAAATGAGGACTACCTTTACTGTTGTTGACTTCTGCCTATAAAGAATAAGCTAAGCAAGCAATTTATCAATGCTTCATATCCCCCACCCCCCTTTTTTTATAAGCAAGCCACAGCAGCAACCAGTTTCAGGATCATAACCCTTAGCATAAACATTTTTTACCTTTCTCTTTCTCTCATTACCTAAAACCTCAAACACTTTCTTCTTCCACCCCCTCTTCTCCCACACTGTGATTTTCAGCCTCACTTGGGGATATGCAGTTTCTTCTTTTTGCCACAGGGTCTTTCCCAGTCCCTGAGTTAAAGCACTGTCCCACATCGTTTTCTCAGCACACAGCTACATTGGCCTGAATGTTGATTATGTTGTTAATCTCTATTCCAATTCTATTGGCCAATGTTCTGACTCATAACCTGAATAGTGTTGTTTTGATTTAGTGTGTCTAGAACTCATGAGAGGCCAAGGAACGGATTGATGCCTTCAGATTTGCTGTCCTCCATCTTTTTCAAAGCTAGTGGGAAAATCTTTTACCCCTCATTGGCACTGTGAGAGTGCAACAGGTTTAGTTGATGACCCTATATCCTCTTTGGTCATACTCCAAAACAAATACAGTAAAAAAAAATCACAAAGGCAGTTAAGTCCTAAGCACTATTTTTTCATAAGCATTTCCCTCCATTTCCACTCTAATGTTATTTCAGGATTATACTGGCATGGCAAGGGCTATCAAGTTGATTGCTCTCACCAATTTCTGAAAATGGAAACACCCAAGTATAATATTGTACTAATCAAAGAGAGAACCAATCTAGAACTAAGGAGAAATTGCCTAACTGTGAGAAGAATTAATGCCTCCAGACGTTGTGAATGCTTCAACATTGAAGGTTTAAAGAAGAGGTTGTACAATCATTTGTCTGAAATAGTATAGGGTTTCCTGCTGGAGTAGGGGGTTGGATTAAAGACCTCCAAGGTCCCTTCCAACTCTGTTAGTTTATAGACCCCACTATACACTCCTTTAGTGACTGACTTCTGTTATAAGAATCAGGTTGTTAAGAGATATGACTGATAGAGAGAAAGAAACTGTGAAGTCTAATCTGTCTGATACTAGCTTAGCTAGTATTATTCTCACTCCATTGCATGTTGTTGTTATGTGTATGAAACCTGGTCATAAATGTGTGCATCAGCAAGAAAATGCCTTCTTTATTACCATCATATTTTGAATGCTCATTAATGTGATAAGTTTGAAACTAGGAGTGGGTATGCAAGCCAGCATGCCCTTATGGTAGGGAACCATTTGTACAAAGTTTCCACAGAAAGACAAAGAGGATCCCTGTAGAATGTAAAACATACTATTATATTGGCCTTGCACAAATTTAAAAGACAGCACTTTCCTGTTTGATTCTTTCAAGAGACAAGAGGAAATGATGGCAGAAAAGATCAATCAAGGCCTGAATGGGAGAGTCCACATCAGCCTGAATTGACCAATAAATGCTTCCATGATCTCTGAATTGATCAATAAATGATGCCTTACTGGTCACCTTCAGTATAATGGCAAATAGGTGCAACAGATTTTATGTACCTTGTGGCTTTGGTTGCTTATTGTCTTGGAAACTAAGTTTCAAGTCCATTTCCAGCCATGGGTGCTTTCAAAGTGACTTTAAGCCAGTCTCTTCTTCTCAAAGCAGACTACTTCACAGGGTGATTGTTGTGAGGAAAAATAGGTGGGATATAAACCTAATAACAAATAAATAACTGTTGGGGTTTTTTCTGGAGAGCTGCTGCCTTCCAAAGTATCCCTTTTTATCTTGTTTGTAATATATATATATATATACAGAGACTGAGAAGGCACTGCACACAAATGTCCCACCAAAAAGATTAAGTCAAGCAACCTTACCTAGCTGCAGTTGCTCTGCCCAGCAAGCCAACCCACTTTGGAGATGCTGTGCTAACACCCAGGCTCTTAAACTGGGACTTGTTATAGTTTAGGGCATGTATATCCAACCTTTGGCAGCTCTAAGATTTGTGGACTTCAGCTTCCAGAATTCCCATTCAAACTTTCTCCCCGCCGCCCCCAATTCAGAGAATCTCGTTCTCTTGCTTGTTTTGAAATGCGTTGTTTACAGAGGGAAATTTATACCTTCTAAGAAATATTTTTTGTCATTCTTCTTGAAATCATTTTGTGGCAAGAGCATCTAGAATTGTTTTTTAAATGTTTTGTTTTAGAAATGTTAAGGGGAGTGGAGGACTCAGAAGGGACCATCCAGAGTGGATTAGTTTTTTCCTACGTGCTTTATTATGAAAAAAAAAACGGTTATTGTGGAGACAATCTATTTATCCTTCTTGGTCCCTTTCCTTTCTATATGTCCTCAGGTTTTTTTTTTTCTAGATTAAAAAAAGCTTCCCAAATGCAAGGTGTACATGAATTTAAAAGGAAATACATCCCATTGCCATATATCATGAAGGCTATTTCTCTAATAGACATCACCACAAAAATGTAGCTTGAAACAATCTTTTCAACCTTCGAGAGAATAAACTATTCTTATCAGTTGCATCAGAATACTTTCTCCAGTAGAGCAGGAAACATCTGAGGGTATTTAAACCCACCTTCCAAGTTCTGCTTGAGTATTGACTGTAAAGGTGGAGAAACCATGGTTAAATCTTTGGCATCGAAGACAATATATCATACATACTTTACATGCTTGCGTGTTGTCAACAAGAATAAAAAGGCGGTCCTTATATACAGCTTTTCTTCTATGCTCATTCAGAGCTTCTCTTCCCTGACAAACTGCCACTCACACTTCCCCTCTGCGATCTGCTTGAGAAAGACCATGGACAGGGGTGAGTATGAAAGTTACCTTTTCTGAGAGTTCAACTCCTACAAGTCCAAGAAATAACAAGTGTCTTTGATCATGTGCAGAGTGAAATCCTCTAATCTTAGAATAAATGTTTATTTTTCCTCACATAAATCAGAAAGTAGGCAAGGTCTCATACTGCTTCTCTTAGCTTCCTTAAGATTGTGAGGAGAACTGACGGTTTCAAATGATAAATCAGAGGAACAAATTTCCATCTGTGTAATGTTTACATATTATAATCAAAAGTTATAATTATTATACTATAATGTTTACATATTATAATGTTTAATGTTTAAATTTCCATCTATATAATGTTTACATGTTCTCTTTAAAAGATATCAGGATGATTTGGTTCACTGATACATACATACATACATACATACACATACATACATACACATACACACACATATATACACATTTACATATATTTAAATACATTTACATATACATTTCATGTTATTTAATTATCAATTAGAAAAAAAATACAAATTGCAAAACAATTTTTTTTTAATTACCAATCTACACTATGGCTGCACTGCTATTTATATATTTATATATTAAGAAATTTAATATATTAGCTTTTATGGTTCTATTTTGCGTTAATCCCTTCATATATTACCTTATTAAATTGTAATACACCTTATATTTTATTACTTTCATCATATATGTTATATGTCTTATCTGGAGGTCACAGCTGGTGTCCTGAAAGTCCTCCCCTCACACTTTTTCATTAACTTTTAATATTGAGTTTTAATCATTCTTAATTTTCTTAAAATTTTATACACTGTTTTTATGCTGTAATATTTTGTTTGTATACCACCAGAGTTCCTGTGTGAGGGAGAAAGGTGCTTTCAAAATATGATAAATAAATAAATAATAAATTATATGGGCAACAGCTGTTTAATTCTAATTTTAACTTGATTATACTCACTGCTGTTGCTAGTTGAAAATGTTGGTTTGTAGTAATCTTATAATTTCCAGGTTATTCATTTATAATTATATAATTCCTTTGATTAACTTTTGGGCATAACTTGCTTCCTATGCTATATTTTAATATTGCTATTGATGTAGTTATTTATTTAAAAGGGGTATATGGCTGATCATTTTATGCAGCATAACTCTCAACATATGAAAATAACAAAACAGACAGGAAAATAAACCAATGTTCTATAGCATTCTTATTCCAAATGTAAATGTACTGGGCTCAGTTCCCATATTAGCCCAATGCTTGAGAGAAGAGTTAGGTCTTCACCTGGATCGATTCTTAACCTTCAACAGCAAAAATCAAAGTAAATGTATTAAATTGAAAAATAACAAATTCAGACAAGATATTTTAAATAATTAGCTCCAGAGCTGAAATATGCCTAAAAAGCCAATTTAGAGCTTTTCCATTTCCATTTTTCTTTTGGTTTTTGAACTCCTTTAGTTGTTGCTTTGGACAAACAAAGCTGCTTTTGTGAGTCTGGAGTAGATAACAATCAGGTCCAACCTCTGCACCAATTTTGACTTTTCAGAAGAAAATTTGGAGGCACAAGTCATGCAGGAGGCAGATAACAGTCCTTATGGCTCTGTAAGCCAGTAAGGTACTTGATAGAGCTAACAAGTCCCCTATCCATCACTTTTCAACCTCTTGTCAAAAGAACAATGAATCTGTAATGAATCAATTTGCTAGCCAACATCTTAGAATCAATTATTTAGGAATCTCCAACCACACCCAAATGTTTGCTATTATTTTGGACATCATGGACTTTCCCAGCCCCATTAAGAAAAGTCAATACAAAATAACTTAGGTTACCCTTCACTTCCTGGAGCTCTCCAGGTGGATTATCCCAGATTCTGAGAATTGTAGCCCAGTCTATCAAGAAAGCACCAAGCTTTGGAAACCCTGGCAATTCATTCTGCCTTTGATTTGGACCTAGGTTGCTCAGCAAGTAATGCAATGATGGTTGTCTTTTTTCTCACAAGAAGACTTCTAATGCATCTGTTGTATTCTCTCCTCCTCCAGATCAACAGTTGAAAGTTGCATTGCTTTGGAAGCTCCCTCTCCTTTTCCAGGTACAATATAAAGCTGATGAAAAAACTGTGCATCTTCTAACTCCAGCGCTTCAGTTGCTCACTGCTCACTGCAGGTCTAAACCTACCCGACCCCCACCCCTTTTCAACTCTCTATGTTCCTTGCCCATTCTTTTTTGGGGGTGGGTGGGGGGTGTCCATGTAATAAATGTGTCAATGGGGAATAGATTGGGGGATGTAGATATTAAGTCATCATGACTTAATATGTCATATGAATTAAGTCACTACAATTTGGAAGCCATGACTTATGACTTAACAAGAAAGTTGATCTCAGGCACTGAACCATGGACAAACCACTGGCTCACTGTTTTACAAGTTGTTTCTAAGCCTTTTTAACTTGATTTTTGTGCTTTTTGTATACAAATAAGTTAGTGAAAAGGAGGCTTTGCACAACCAACCACTGCCAGAGGGGTTGATCTTCTTCTCTTAAGACTATTTATATTTTCCAGAAGTGTCACATAGAAAACAAAAGGTAAGATCAATAGGCTTTTGACCTGACAAAACATGGAACTTCTTTTTTTGAAAGCAGCCAGTGCTGACTTGTTATTCTTCAAATATATTTCACTATGACCTTTTTCCTTTGAACTCACCCTGCATGACATAGATTAGAGATGGTGGGTTTGCAGTTGAATTCACAGGGTAAAGACTGGTAAGCACAAATGTAATTTCTAAACAACAAACCACATCTCCCAACCTATGGGTTAATCTTAATGAAAACTATGTGGTTAGGTTGGTGGCAAAGTTTCACCTAAACACTGTGAATTAATTCTTCTCCTTTCTCTTGGCACACTCACTTTCATACAGGTAGAGAGACCCCAAGGATAGTTGCCTTGTCCTCTTTCCTTTTTAGGCAATGCTGCTTCAAGTAAACCCACAGGATGTGGTTCTTTCACTCAATCCAGTACAGCAGTGTTCAGTAACTGCAAACCAAATCCTTGACTTGCACCCAAAACTAAAACCAAGACCAAAAATTCAAACCACTTTTTTCTACCCCCATCATTAAGGGAGTATAAATATTTCATTTTAGAGTTCAAACAGCCCAAAATTTATTGCTGTGCACCTGTATTTTTTAGATACTAGTTTAGCATTTTTTGAAAGATTGATAGCTTTTGAATAGAAATTTGATTGTTTAGTCAGAAAGCTGGTTTCTGCCACTTAAGTTTTACAAGTTATGTCACCATTCAATGTAATGCAAGTGTTAACTGCTTTTGCCAAAAAGGGCTTTAACATGACAATGCTTCTTACTCTATTGAAGTATTGGGGTAGGGGCAGAATTTTGCCCACTTATTTTGGCTTCATGGCTATCCACACAATATTTTGAGGCACTGCTGCCACAAGGACAAAACTGAATTCACTACCAACATTGCTATTCCACTGCAGCTCTAGTGACTTTCCTTAATTTATCCTGCACTAAAAAAGGCCTGTATCACTTGTTGGATTTATCACAGTGATAAGTGAGAGCTCAGGGATAGAGAAATCAAGTGTTATATTGTCATATTTTTTCTCATTTTAAAGACTAAATTGGATCATCTGGTATTGCCAGTCATATGTATCAAACCATTGGGAGGAATATTAGAATTTTCTATAATATTAGTTGATATGACAGAACCAAATCAAAAACGGTCCTTAACATGGTTAATATCTAATGCCATTTATGGTTTCAATAAGCTGTTTCTGGAACATTTGGAAGAACATTTATAAGCTACCTTGCAAGAGACCATAAATAAGTCTTGTTTATAATTCAACATAAAATCTTCACTAACTAAAGGTAATCTCAACTTTATATGCTGATCCTTTATGTGTTCTTGCTACATAAACAGCATTCATCTTTTTAAGTATTCTAATTCCCACCCAAAAAGTAACCTGTTTTTAAGTTTCATTTATTTATTTCAATTTATATAGCTCATCTCACAGCTCTCAATTCCCACTCCACTGCTAAGATGAAGTGTTACTCATTCTTGATTCCTCCTGATTCAGAATTCTAGACTTGTATTAGCTCTCTCCTTTGATGACCCCAATCCTGCTTCTATTCCAATCACAGCAGTCACTTGACTTCTTTTCAAAGTGACTGACCTAACAGATTGTACACCATAAGATTATCTTTAGAGTAGACCATTGTTCCTCGACCTTGGTTGTTTGAAGATGTGTGGACTTCAACACCCACAGACTTCAACACCCACCATCGTATTGGCTGGGGCAATTCTAGGAGTTTAATTCCACACATCTTCAAGTTAGAACAGTTGAAAAGCACTGCCTTAGAGAATGTTTGATTAATGAGTGGAATAGTACTTTAGTACAGGCATAGTTAAAGATGACTTAAATCTTTCTCATTCCTCAGTTATGGATGAGGAATGAGAAAAACATTTCAAAGTTTTATGAGAAAACCATAATAAAGGAAATGTTGTGGTGACCAGTAAAAAAAAGAGAATTTCAGAACTTGTTTGTACTGTGGTTAAATACGAGCACGGAAAGTCCATAGACTACAATCCAATCCTTATTTTCCTTGTAGAAATAATACCATTTGAATTCAGTGGGACTTTACTTCTGGCTACCATCCTCCGATCTTAAATGAAATTTTCTTGTTGCATTACATTCTTCCCCACTCTATATATAATGGAATAGAAACTCTAACAATATCCAGCTAAAAGATTCTAAATTTTGGGAGTTGCTATCAACAAACCAACTTTTAAGAATTTGAGACAGCTATTTTATAAAAGCTTTCACAGCAAATGAAATCTAACATCTCAGATGGACAAATGTTACTTGTACACTTTTTGTTCCCCTTGCACAACTTTTTTTTAAATATCCAGTATTCATGTGCAGATAAATTGGGAGTCTGTGGAATTTAGTTGTTTGTTTGTGTGTTTGTTTAATTTCCTTAGCCATCCAACTCAATCCATCTGACTCTACCTTCTCAGTATCTCTTTTGCCATTTATTAGAAAGGAAACTTCTAAGATCCACCCTAAGAGAGATTTGCATATTTAACCCTTAGTAAAAACTAGCTGAACTAAAACCTGAAAAGTAGGTGCGAAGAGCTGAAAAAATAACCTGCAACAGAGTAAATGGGATTAAGAATAAAAGTGATGAAATAATTTGGAATGAAACTGAAGTGCAACAAAGCAGGAGGGAGCATTGTAGAGATGTCTGTGGGGATGGTAATGATATGACCAAAAATGGAATTGATATCAAAGTTGTTAAGTATTAATGTCCTGGAAAAAATAATGGAAAATTGCTATGACAACATTTAAAAATATTATGACAGTAGGTATAGATGATCCAACTGGAAAAAATATTAAAATATGGTCTGATTTAATTATATAGTAATCATGCAATATTTTAGCATCAGTTTGAAGGCTACTTCGATTTGAAAGAATGTTGTTATTGCTCCTTTTTACAGAGAGATAAATAACCTTGCAAAAAAGAATTATTTGTTGATTTAGAGAAAGCATCTGATTAAAGTAAAAGTTTATATGAAGATAAATAGAATGCTTAGCCAATGATTAAACACTGAACAGACATTGTAATGAGGCTATGATTGAGGATATCCCCTTGAAAGTTTAGTGCTTGTGATGACATTTGAGATGTGATGATGGCTTGCACGCAGACAATACAGCACTGCATGAATGTTAATGTTCCAGAAACCTTACTATTTGATAGAGAAAATAATTTCAAAGAATACATAAATGATGAGAAAATACTATAAGTAGATGTATTTGAATCCCATTATATAAGGTTTTACTAAAGGTCAGAACATATATGGATAAATGTTAAAATTCTGCAAATAGTAGTAGAAAAATAATGAATGATATGTGGCCTATAAGGTGTGTAAGAAAAGTAATGACCTGTGTATAAAAAGGTTTTTTTTCATTATTAGGAACTGAGATTTGGGTAAGTACAGGAAGTTGAATGCAATAAGGATGGTATATATAAGAATTATGTGTGGTTTTTAAAAACTTTAAAAATATGTGAGGAAGGAAAGAAAGAAAGAAAAACGGGAAGGAAGGAAGGAAGGAAGGAAGGAAGGAAGGAAGGAAGGAAGGAAGGAAGGAAAGAAAGAAAGAAAGAAAGAAAGAAAGAAAGAAAGAAAGAAAGAAAGAAAGAAAGAAAGAAAGAAAGAAAGAAAAGTACCAGAAACATACACTAAAATGAAGAAGGGTTGAACAGAAGTAAATCTAGGAAGGAGAAGTGAATGGGTTGAGAGGAAGGGGAAGATTCAGAAAACTTTGTCTAGCTACAATAAATGAGCTACTCAAAAACAAAAAACAAGCAAAAAAAAAAGGAAGACAAGAAGTTTAAAGAACAAAAGGCAATTTGGTGCCGCATGGGTGATTGGCAAGAACAAAAGAGTGAAAAGTACTATAATGAATAGTGTTTGGTTTAAGTAGGTTTAGCTTGATTCTTTTATTCACTGCTTTTAATTTCTTTTGCTCCTGCTTCTTAATATTTTTCTGTGCCTTGCATAAAGCTATTTACTCCAAAAGGGAAAAATATGATGGGTAAGTGTACGCATGCTATTTCATAATATTATTCCACATAGTTTCCCCCCCTCCCATACACACACACTTTTACTTTAGGGGTTTGCATAAGTTCTTCTGCAGGGTCAGTTTTGATTATTTCTTGAATAGGGGAACTCCAAGAAACATAGAGCTTTTGGATAGACAAAAACATCTCCAAAGCCAGTGACAAAGCATTTTTCTATAGTTAATGAGAAACTGCATGCGCTTGTCCTTGTCTGTTGTCATCAGGAATAAAACTCAGTTCAAAAGAATTTATTCCAAGTTCTCCAAGTATGGGATTAAAACATTACTCCATCTCTTGGGAATATTGGGAAGTACAGACTAAAAATTTCTAACAGTAGTCTTATTAAACCATTATTTTCTAGGATTATTTGGAGGGAAGTCACCATAATTCAACTGAAAGAAAACTAATATTGGGTTATGGTCCCTAAAGAAAAGACACTCAAAGAACAGGCCATTCTTACCTGAAGATCATTTCCTTTGCAGTGCCAAAAAAATAAATCACAACTAAAAGAATATGGTGAGATAAAAATAATCCATATTGTATCTCCCTTCTAGTTTTGCAAAGGTGACTTTATGACAAATAATAACTACAGCATTGGTGAAGATGCTACTAAAGAGAGCCAAATAACAGCGGATTACATCACTGAAGATTCCTCCCTTGACTACAGTCAGTTTGAAGAGATCTGCAAGAAAGAAGAGGTCCGGAAATTCCGTGCTATTTTTCTTCCTGTTGCATATTCCTTGATATGCATTGTGGGACTGGCAGGCAATGGTCTGGTTATGGCAACCTACATCCATTTCAAGAAGCTCAGGACAATGACTGATATCTATCTATTCAATCTAGCTTTATCAGACATCTTCTTTCTTTTGACTCTCCCATTTTGGGCTGTCAATGCAGCCAAGCACTGGGTTTTTGGGGACTTTGCATGCAAAGCCGTTCACCTCATCTGCCAGATGAGTTTCTTCAGTGGCATGCTGCTGCTTCTCTCCATCAGCATTGATAGGTATTTTGCTATTGTTCAAGCAACTTCAGCCCACCGCCTTCGGTCCCAGAGAATGTTTGCCAGCAAAGTGACCTGTTTCTTGATTTGGACATTGGCTTTTATTTTTTCTGTCCCAGAAGTGGTCCATACCAGTGTTTATGAGCCTCCTTCGTACCCACCACAATGTTTCATCACCACAGGTGATCATATAGCCTTAATTATGAGAGTATCTCAGCTAGTCTTTGGGTTTTGCTTACCTCTAATTGTAATGACTTTCTGCTATTGTGTCATCATCAGAAATTTACTGCAACCCCACAGCTTTGAAAAAAAACATGTAATCAAGATCCTTGTTGTCATCATGATAGCTTTTGTTCTCCTTCAGTTCCCCTACAATTGCATAATAATCCTCAGGACCATTTCAAAATACAACCTAACCATTGGCCAATGCAATGCCATCAAGCACCTGGATGTGGCTAATGATGTAACTTACAGCTTGGCTTGCTTCCGCTGCTGTCTCAATCCATTCCTGTATGCTTTTATAGGGGTTAGGTTCCGCAATGATGTCCTCCGACTTCTTAGAGATCTGGGTTGCATCAGTCAAAAGCGGCTCTGGCAATGGTCAACAAACCAGAAGAACAGTAGAAGTTCTGTTCCCACAGAAACTGATACCACAACTTCTTTCTCCCCATGAGATGCTGGACAATCAATATTGCAGATGTCAATATCATAGGTGTTTGGCAACAGTTTTCATCACCCATCATCAGAGATTGAACCAGGAGATTCTTTAGGTCTCACTTATTGATGGGAATATGTTCACAGAACCTGAAGAAACCCCACCCTTCTTTCTATTTCCCACTGGTCAACTCAATTCAACTAGATGAAATTTTCCTAAAAAGCCAAAAGCAGGAGAACTGCAGAAAGGTGCTTGCAGACCTTAAACAGGAGAACTATGTCATGGCTACAGAAAAAGCAAAGTATCTTCTTCTAAAGTTGAAGAGTGAATTAAGATGGCAACTTGAAAACAAGCATGGAATGCTTTACGAATGTTGACATTCAGGAGGCCTAATTAAAAAAAAATTGCAGACATAAAATGTTGACAATTATTTAGCTTTTTCACAAAGCCGAGAAACAAGCAGGCAGATTATTTCCCCCTTCCTCCCTCTCCTTCTCTCCCTCCCTCCCTCCCTTCCTCTATACAACTCTGGAATTTGCATGTTGCATGTTGCAAGTGGGGGGAGTCCAAATGACTACCCAGTTCAATCCATTTCCCCCAAAAATAGAGTGAAAATGCTAAAATGTTAAACTTCCATAAAGCTATCTTTATATTTGTTCAGTACAAGTTTATATATCAGAACAAAAGTGAGGTGTTATTGTATGTAGATTGATTTACATTTCCTTTTAATTTTATCTTGTATTATTCTACAAACTTTTCCATATAATATTTGTATTTGTAATTTGTAATTTTTGTCTTTTTTTTTCTCTTTTCCATTTTAAAATTAATGAATAAAAAACAACAAATAAAACAATCTGGCTTAAGCTTGGGTTTCTATACTGAATGGTACATTTGACTAATAATATACTAGAATATGCATCATTTGTGTTGAAAAAAAGAAAGAAGGATGCAGCATTTTAATACTATTAACAAGATTGCTTCTAATAGCAAAACAATCACATTCTTGCACTTTCCATGCTATGATGGGCCTAGACATAGATCTCTTAGGACCACACAAAAGCAATTTCTCAAGTAATTTAACATGAGATTAAGTGTAGTAATGTCCTTCATGTACATTTTATTTTTATTTTATTTTGTTATGGGGATAACTATGTGAAAACCTGAGCAATAGCATCCAGGGAATGGAGGAATGGGAAAGGTACACACCATGCTAAAACACCATGAACTTTTTAACAGTTGCTTTTCCAAAGCTGCTATTTAAGTTTAAAAGGAACTTTCATAGATGAAAGAGTTTTTCTTGATATGCAAATATTAGTTTTGCAGAGAGGCAGGAAAGGAATAGTTAGAATCCCACAACAACAATAACAACCAAAACAACAACACCTGCCACTGATGAGGCATGCTTCTGTATACAGAAGCAGAGGTTATTTTCATTCCTATTTTTATTTGCTTCTTTTTTTGCCTCTCAGCAATAGAACTCATTAATTGAAAGTAAATTGAAAATATTATTTTCCTTCCTTCTGGAAGCAGAGACAAAGGGACATTGAAAAAAAAAAGCCAATGCTGAGCCTTCAATCTTCAATCACAAGGCAATGGTCATTTCCAGTTATCAAGCTAGGATTATTGAAAAACTCTCGTTCTATATGAATCACTAGTTCCCAATACTAGCTCTTTTAGAAATTGCATTACTAGAAATATCAAATCTGGCTTCGAGAGCACAAGACAGCTTTGGGTAAGATTTTGAGTTTGCAGACTAGTACAATTGACAAATGACACATAGGGAAAAGCTCAAAAATTGGAAAGATTTAATGCTCCACTTTCAGTCATAAAGTTACAACAATGGAAGAAACATCATAAACAAAAGACTAAAGGTATACAACAGTTCATTTGAGGAGGAAAATAAGCCTTCTCAAAAAATCAAACTTTTCTCCACAGAGAACATAAGTCTCTGTATTCACAGATTGTAATGTTTTGTAAATAAATCATACTTCCTATCCCCAAATTATTATAGCAGAACATTACATTTTTTTTCAAAGCTACTTATAATTCTAAAGCTTGATTGTACACAAATGATGTATGTTATATATCTGTATAAATCATTTCTCAATCTTCTCTCATTTGCTGCATTTTAGAATTATCTGTAAATATGTTTTTTTCCAAATCAGACATATTGCAGATGGGTGTAGATTCATGGATGCCTATCATAGAACTTATTCTTCTGATCTATATGAATATTAAAAAGAAGATAAGATCACATGTAATCAAGGTTTTAGAGTTTCATTTCTAGAAAAAAGGATGCCTCAGCTCTTTTTTACTCAAACTTAATCTTTTGATTTGGTCTTACTCAAGTCTTACTCAAACTTAATCTTTTGATTTGGAAGATCATTGCACCCACAAACATATACACATAGAAACACACACATAGGAAGAGGGACGGAGGGAGGGAGGGGGAGAGATATGTTATCCTTCTCTGAAGCAATAGCACCTCCATCTATAATGACTATCCTCCAAATATGACATTGTTCCTTAAATAATGCTTTCCTAGAGTCTTCCAGTTTCCTTAAACTTTGGGGTTTATTTTCTCCTGGAGAAAGAATCTTACATTTTTCTTCTACCCCTTTTCAAAAAGATTTCTCACTTTGTTGTTGCCATCAGGCAAAAGAGAGTTTGGTGTTTTAGATAGATTGATAGATGTCATGACTGTGTATATCTTGATACCACTGTGAGTAAAACATCACAAGTGATTCATCTTATAACTGGAATATTGCAGACAGTTGGGGGGAAAACTGTAGCACTACAAGGCTGTTGTACACAACAGACAAAATAGGATATGAAAAATGGCACCAAACAGTATTGTAATTGTGTAATATCTCAAGAAAAAACAGAGTAACAATTAATGAAACTATGAACTAAATCATATAAGTAACTGCAAAGCAGAGATGACCTTAGACTTCTCTCTAAATTTCTGGTGGTTCTCAAACTCCTCATCATGATAAAACAGAATAAATCAATGCCCTGTTGGTTCATTTTCAGTGGTATCTCATCATCTATTCTAGTATTTGAGACACACTACCAACCTGCCCAGTAGTTGGGCCAGTTCTACTACAAACTGTCAACTGCATCTCAATGGTACAAGTCCAGATTCAATACTGTAGAAGAAGCAGCATTATCAAGTTGTATCGCCTATATTTAGTGTTCAAGAGAAAGTTGGTTGAGATTGTCAACAGTCCATGTTTGAAAAATATTTCCAGAAAGCTATAGTGATAGACATTGGGACAAAAATCAAGAGAAGAGCCCAACATGGCAGGACTAGTGCTTACCACATTTTGAAATAATGCACAGTGTTAGCTATTAGATTGGGGACAAGACCATTTTGTTCAGATGCTAAATGAATGTATTATGTTAATTCCTGGAAAGAGCAGAATAGTAACAATGTTCGTGAAATACTTTTATTTATTTTTAGATGTTTTTTAAAATTCTATCTTTATTATTTTTACAGATAAGTCAAGGTGGCAAACACACACAATACTTGCTCCTTTTATTTTTCATATAACCACAAACCTGTGAGGTGAGTTGGGCTGACAGAAAGTAACTGGTTGTAAGTCAATCATCTGGCTTTCGTGCCTAAGGCAGAACTATAACTCATAGTCTCCTAGTTTCCAGCCTGATGCCTTAATTATTAGACCAAACTTTGCTAAGAAACAGAAGAATTGTTCTACTCTTTTGTCTTGCAGATGTATTAATCATTGAAGAAAAGGTGAAGTGAAACTCTTTATGTAACTGCCATAACGATATGAGTTTCCATCCTGACTTCGCATCTTGTTTGCTCATTCTACTTCCCAGTCATGTGATCAAATAGGATACAGAATATTAAGTTCTTGAAAATATAAATAGAAATCACTTTTGGATTTGCCTGTATCCTGACATTGGCTGATGAGAAAATGAGAAATGAAATTTGCTGGCTGGGAAAGAAATAGACTATAAATGTTTTTTAAAAAGAAGAAAAATGTGAAAACTGTCAAGACCATCCAGATGCATCATAGAGAAAATTCCATTTTTGTGACTGATTTGCATTGTGCAGATTGAAACAAAAAATGAGAATGTACAGTGATTTGCTTTATGAACATGAATATTTTAAGAACCACTTTTTTATTTCAGAATGTTTGGGGGTTAGAGACCAGCATAAGTTTCAAGAAGCAAAATCACAGAAATGAACAAATATACATAGAGTGGCTTCAATCTTGTGATACACGGCAATGTGATTTGTTTGACTGTATCTCACTGCATATTACATGAACTCAGATATTGGGGTGGATTAATGGTGACATGTGATATAGTGTACTACACTAATCCACTCTAAGAAGGTTACTTTTAAGACCATGGTTAAATAAATCACACGTATGTGTGAACCAAACCACTACATTTTTCAGAACTATTCTGCAGCAGCTTTTTTTTTATGCCTTCAAACTTACTTTATTCAAACTAAGCCAAAATCCATTAAACAATGGCATGGCTTACCTCATAATATGTGTTCACCCTGGTGATCTGCCATGTATAATTTATGGCTATTTGGCCTCTTGGAATAAACCAGATAGGAATCACAACCAGATGAGCTAATTCTACTTCACTGACAGAATCTTGCAAGTTTGAAATTATAGCCCTCCCCGTTCCTGTCTGTTAGAGTCTCAAAAACTAAGAAGATCTTTTCTGATCCTCATGATCCATCCACCAGGTTTATACTAACCCATATTTGACTGTTCCCTTGAAGTATCTCTTAGCCCAGGCGCTCAAGGTTTTTCCCACATATCATTACCTCAGCTTTGCTTGAGTGAGAAATTCACTTTGTTGTAGTTTATTCAACAAACCTATATATGCTGTAAATCTCTCTTTCTCTCTCCCCCTCTCCCTCTCCCTCCCTCTCCCTCTCCCCCCTCCCGCCCTCTCTCTATACACACACACACACACACACATTAGTTTTCGTAGATTTTCACCAGTACAGGTATGCAGGTCTTGGCGTGTTTGGGTCTTTTCCCATGTAAGATTGAGAGTATCTTGGCGACGTTTTGAAAAGGTCCCGCTCATCTTCAGGCTGGTGCTTTCGGTTACGTGCTTGTGCGAGCAAAGCACGAAGCCGAAAGCACCATCCTGAAGATGGCGAGTGGGACCTTGTCGAAACGTCGCCAAGATACTCTCAATCTTACATGGGAAAAGACCCAAACACGCCAAGACCTGCATGCATATATATATATATATATATATATATATATATATATATATATATAT